GTAAAATCACCCTGTACTGTACCTCAATACGCACAAAAAGAATATTTCTGTGACTTTGTATAAAGGTGTTTTGTAGTTGAGTTCTATGTAAAATTCTCAACAAAATAATGTATTTTAAAGTTAAAGGAACTCAAGTCCTCGTAAATATCGATATATCAATGGTTTAAAAATCCATTTTTAATGGAACTTAGTGTTTGTCAAAAATTCAGTTTTTGACCTTTGAAGCCTGATTTCTCGGTTCAAACAAATGCGGCTTTTGGTACCTTTCACCAGGCATGCTCACATATAGTGAATTTGAAGGACTAGACAGAAGTGTGTATTTAGTTAGGGGAAGTTAAAATGACATGCTCTGTGTCGTTCTGGCGGAAGGGAGTAAAAAGGAAAGATAGGATTTGAAATAATTGATTATTGAAGATACAAGTGAGAAGACTTTGCTTGCTTTTTACTAATGTGGTTTTGACATTGAAAGAAATGTAGTTTTCAAAGAAGCAGGTTTTCTTTCGTGTATACTTAATGTCTCTTTTTCTGTTCACAGCTTGCCTCGCCTACACACCTGATGAAAAACTGGGTTTTGAAGCTGCAGTAACAGCTTTAGGTAAGACTTAACTTATAGAAACATACTTCAAAACGAAACAAATGAAGTTTTTTTTTTGATAATCTGTCTTTTGTCAGCAGTCTTAGATATAGGTCAAAATGCAACTTGGAGTGGCTATTTTGTTTCAAAACGATGATGGCCAGGTTTTATTACTTTTTTCAGGCCCTCGGGGTTATTGGGGTCTTATTTTGTAGTCCATGGATGAGATTCAGGGTGACTTTGAAGCCCTGTTTTTGTAGGTAAAAAGTTTCGTTCTGTATGCGATGATATATGGTAAATGTTTTTTGGAATGTACATATACAGTCAAATCTGCCTATATGGGAACCTGTCCAAGACTGAAGCCTGTCATAACTGATTCTCCCTGCTCCACCCTTGAAATATTCCTTTATTATACTTTATAATTAATCGGTGTAGGATGTAAGCCTGCTCAACCTTGAAATGTAAAGAGAAATTCCTTCCGTTTCGAGAGTTTTGATCTGTTAATGACACAAAATGCGTTGCTGGCTTAACCGTGATTTGAAACAAAACTCCGAAGTTTGGTTTTTTTTACTCTAATCTTTACGCCACACTGTCAAGCGAAGGAGGAGGGAAGTGGTGCAGCTTTGAAGTTGCCGTTTTCCCACTCATGTGAACCCCTGGCTGTGCGGATGATTTATATTATTAATTGCAGAAGCTGGTGAAATCTCATAATAGTTTGCAATGGGAGGTCAGTAAAGTATATCTCATGTTATGTTACCATTGGTTTTTCAGACTCTTTCTCTTCAAGAGTGTATTTCTCAGGAACACAACAATAATTCTTGATGAATGTTTTTGAAAATAAGACAGTTCAGTCGAACCTTCTCTAATGGCCACCTGTCCAAGATGATTACCTCCTGTATACATGCCCACTTTTCACTTCCCCCTTTAAAAAAAATATTATAATGACACTGTCCAAGATGTCCACCTGTCTAAGACAACCCCTTTTCTCCTCGACAATGGGTCGCCATCTTGGACTATACCGTTCATGGACAGTGGATTCACTACACACACTATTGATTTCTTTTATATTTATACAGGCATGAAAGCCAATATTGCCGAAGCTGATCATCCCTTGTTGTGTGAGAGCACCCGCAGGCAGAGAGGAGAGCTGGCCATTGCCATGCTGGTACACTACAAGGATGATCAAGTCAAGTTGAGTAAGGTATGTTTGATAGAGACCTGAAGCAGTGACACACATAAGGTGGAGATGATGGTGACCTGCTTAAAAAATTCAGAGCCGTGAAAGAATCCTTTTTTTGTGTGTTAGAGGGAGGTTGCTGCTAACAACAACAAAAAAAGAAGAAAAGAATGGCTGGATTACTGTTATGTTTTTTTTCTTCAGCTGATCTTTATCTCCATATTATGTGTATCACCGTAGTTTCATTTTTCATGGTATGTCCCTTGCGTGTGTTACAATGTTTCATATCTTATTGTAATGAGGGAAAAATAAAGAGTAACTGCACTTGACCATGCTTTCTTTTAATTATCACACAATTTTAAAAAAATGGTTTGGTCAGTGGTCATTGTATAGTTTAATGCACCTTTCAACATTGTAAGGTAACATAAGAGATGAGACATCCTAGTTTAATGTTCGTCTTGAAAAGATTTGAGCCAAGTGGATAGAGAGCATTAAAACCTCCCTGAAACAACCTGAGTTCAGAATTCGCCCTTGAAAATTCATATCAGGGCCATGTGCTCCAGTCCAGTGTGATACCAGTTATGTTAAGGGTGCACCAAAAACAATTTGAGAGATGTAAATTGTTTCCTTCTGTGTGTGTGTATTTGTAGATCATGGAGAAGCTGCTTGACAAGGAGGTGCACCAACAGTACAAAGCTCCCAGCCTGTTGACCTACCTGTCTGGTCACAAGCAGCCATGCTCCAGCCACGGCGCAGCTGTGTCGCAGTCTGGCAGCCAGCGGAGTAGTGAGTCTGGCAGCTCATCTGGGTACCGCAGTCAGGGCGGTGGTCGGGCTGACCTATACTATAATCTGGTGGTGCGGGAGAGGAATGGTGCAGCTGGGACGCGTTCTGGTGAGATTTTGTTTTGTGTGTTGTGCAATAGGTTTTATTAGTGGATTAGGGTGGGGGTTTTTTTTAGAGAGAGAGAGGGGGGGGGGGGCCTCAGGACTCTTGCAGCTCCTCTGAGTACCATGGTCAGATTGGTGGTCAGGCTGAACTGATCTTTTATCTAGGCTAGTGGTACGGGAAAGGAATGCTGCAGCCGGGAGGGGTTCTTGTGAGATTTTTTTCTGTAACTAGCATGTTGCCGTTTCGTCACCTCAGAACTATTTTGTCCGAAGTATACTAAAGTAAAGAGGCGCTTTGGCAAAATAGATCTGAAGCGACAATTTTTTAGGGGAAGGAGGGGGAGTACTGTTGTATGGGATCAGGACTTTTCTCATATTAAGACCAATGGAGACTGTCATCATTGGATTTTTATTTCTGTTTCATAAGGAAACGTCTCACTTTTTTCCTTTCGCTATATTGTTTCCACCTGTCAGACTTATTCTTTCCCTTGACTTAATGACTCGGAACAAAAACAGACATTCATTAAATGACCTCAACGGATATGTTTGTTTGCCTCCTTGTTACTGTAAGTAGAAAGCCGTACGGAGCGGGGACTGTGGAGGGAGGACAGGCCTGACTCTGGCACCAGCACCGACAACACTGCCACTCCAGTGGGTGCGTCTGCTTCTTCCACGCCAAATGGAGGGGCCAGGCCCAAGACCAATTTCTCTCTCAGATATAACAGGTAAGAGTATTATGATGTATGATCTTGCGACACTTTCAGGCTCTCACTCATTCATTTTTCTGACTGAGTTATGCCTTGTTTAGGGATATTTTATATTGGAACAAAGATATCTGGAGAATCTGCAAGGTTTTTCACTCGTTCACTATTTGTTTTTAGCATCTAGCTGTTTTTACTTCCATAAATTAGTTTTAGTTTGATTTGTACAAACAGTGAAACTTGCTGTTATGACCACCCTGCCTGAGACATTTACCTGTACAAATGACCACTCCCACTCCTCCTTTTTGCATATTAAAAATCTTGAAATGACACTTATTCAAGCAGGCTACCTGTCAAAGATCACCATTTTTCTCCTGACGATAGATGTTTTTTCCCGGACAGGTTCAACTACATTTTTTTTTTGAAAGTACTGAATTTCTATCTGTTCAGTTGTGTTTGACACTAAACTGCAGGGCTGAGTGAATAAATAGATCCATGATTCGTTACATAGAAAGTGTATCTATTGATACAACTTCTGTCTTCATTTAAATTGGAAAAAGTACTATGGAACGTGACCATAGCTATCACTCAGGATCACAGAGAAAAGTAACTGTTATACACAGGTGGCTGCTATGGACAGGGTGTGAATAATGGTCACTTACTAGACTTGACAAAGTGTTCATATGTTATAAAATCTGAAATCTTAAGTTTTAATCTTTCCACTTCATTTGCATAAATTTTTTTTCCATCTCAAAAGCTTCTTTCAGTGCTTCCACTCTTCCGTATTTTTACAGAAATCCATATTTTCTGCCAGTTTCGTACTTGTTCCTCCATCATTATCAACTCAATTACAAATTCTGTAGCAAAAGATCCGTACTTCAGACCTGCCACTCATCCCGATTTAGTCGGGATATCCCGATTTTTTGCCCCAAATCTCAAGCATCCCGATTTTCCCGATTTCGATCGCGTGTATCCCGATTTTTGTCCCAGTCTGCTGTTGTGCCGGATTTTTCTAAAAACGTACTCTGTCTTCTCCTTTATCGCGGGAAGCATCCGTTGAACTTTTTGTCAGTAGGAACTCGGAGCACTATTTCCCGAAATATCGATGCCGCATTTAGTAGTTGACTCGCCCCAAGTTGTGTGTGATCTTTGCCCGCACTCAGAATTCTCCAATGATAGCCTGGTAACTGTTACAATTTGGGACATACAAATAATCGATAATATTCATAGTTCCGCTGTTACTTTCAAAACAAGCCTTGTCCGAGGCCTGGTAACTGCGCGTTCACATCAAACACTCGGACGAGCGACAGTCTTTCTAACCCTTGCACAACTACATATGACTGCGCTGACAAGACTAACACACGGCCGTTGTCGTTGCTTTAGTCTGAACGCATTATGAGGGGTAAGAGATTTGTTGGTACATTTGGTCGGTCGGCCGCCGTCGTTATCCTAGAAGTAGAACGACTGTCGTTCATCTGAGTGTTTTGTGTGAACGTGCAGTTAGTCGGACCCGTCAATAACATTGTTTCAATCGCGCATTTGCGTCACGTGACATGACATCGCCGTGTGAGTTCTGCGTGTCGGGGACCGTCCGTAGACGGGGTCAACTTAAGTTCATGTATT